GATGGATGAATGCGAGATTGATAAAATGAACACGGAATGGATGGATGTATGCAGGGGTGCATAAATGCGGATTGGATATAGGCTGGTGGATGGATGTAATTGGGAATCAAAGCCACGACTTGATTAAACCGATGACACTCTATTTAACATGCTTTTGTTAGATAGCTTCTGATTTATTTCTCTTAAGATACTCAGGAGCTACTTTGGCATGTCATCTAATGAAGTCAGACGTGAACGCGATCGAGCAGAAGCCTGGCCCTTCCTCCAATTTTCCAGCAACTCACAGTGATTCGTAGATCAATTAGTTCGCTTTGTTTACGCAAGATGCAAAATTTTAGGCTCAGAGATGAGCCTGTACTCACATCTAAATACCTTACCTCCTCCAGCATTTGCTGAAGAAAGGTGATTTTTACCGTTAACATAAGATGTGTGGGAATGAATGAAAGACCACACATGCATTGGTCGTTGAGAGGACATTGAGCGACCTTGAAGAAACCATTGAGATTGGTGCAATGGGTAGATGAGTGCACCTGCGTAAGGGGTTTGGAGGTATTCATTTGTGTGCCTTGCTTGTGCTTTAATATAATGCTTCTACTACCGTTTTATATCGTCTCCTAGGTCACGCGGGCACCTAAGACTTTGTACTTATGCTTCTGTTGGGCAGCATTGACTGTGGGACATGCCAGTAACCCCGTCATTTCTGTACGTGGGAATATGCTGTGGATGAGAGAACCCGTGTTGACCCTTAACAGAATCTTGGTAAATGACAATCAGCATATAATCGTACTCCCTGTTTTCAGGAACGCTGCTAACAATCGTGAATCATCTGAAAAATCTTGTGATGGAGCTGTCAGCGGTGTCTCTATGACGATTCCCACTAAGCTAAAAGCGAGACAATCAAAGGGTGATACGAATAAATGCTTAAAGACGTCACTCTTCAGAACAGCCTTTTTTGAAAATGATTGAATAAATTCCGCTGACAAAGTCTTTTTAAATCTCCTCCCCATTCCTTTACCTCGACGTTTTCAATAGAATTATGCGGCTTATTTACAATTGGTTGAATCCAACTCTACCTACACAAACCAGCCTAGATTTCAGAATTGTCCATTAGTAGGTTTAATTTTAGTCTTCCATTTACCTGGCCCAGAAAAACAGTAAATCTTCTCTTGTAAGCTTAAAATAAGATGGCCACAGCCGGTTGCAAAAGTAAGTAGTGCTAAATTTCTACTTCTTTGAGGTCGGTATAATTCGTGTATAAGCCTAGACTGACACCATTTTCCTACTCGCATTATGCAAACCAGCACTAGTGGATTCGTTGCCTTCACCCTGTCAGTGTTTCTATCACATTCCAAGTCCACCAACACTTGGGTCGTTTTTGGGCCAAGTCATGTTCACAGGACTGCATGAAGGTGACCGTTGTGCAAGTCATGCTCTTGAGAAATGAATTAGAATGTCAAATGGCTTTTAGCTTTCTAGACTAATATTTGCAAGCGACAACGGTAAACGTGCATTTGCATGTTTTTTATGGTAAAAAGTCATCGATGAAAAAAGATGTATTTACAAGTCCATATGCCAATGAATAAAATGTGTGATAAATGCTAACATGAAAAAGCCATTTTTTTCATAAAATGTAATTATTGGCTGTGTGGCTAAAAAAACTAAAAGGTTGTTATTAAAAATTTACTGAAAATATTTGTCCAAGAATTTTGAACATTAAATATCGTAGGTTCTTTCCTTTTTAGGGCGTTTTGTTTTGCATAAATTTGTCAGAGATCGTGAGTTCTGCTTCTTCAACTTGGGGACGGCTCACTTGGATTTGCATGT